CAGGCCGTCAGATGCAGAGAATCTAGGTCCAGGTGGCAGATCCTGCCTGCATTCTGTGTCAGCAGGTGTAGTAAAGGTGGGAGTCTGATGATCTCTGACGCCATCATTCTGAGAGTGGTAAACCATGGTTGCCAAGGTCACCACGGTGCGATCAGAATGGCATTGGCGTGAACATGACAAAGTGTGCCCCCTTGTTTGTTGATAAATACATGGTTGTGGTGTTGTTGGTGACCACTTGAACACCACGACCTGCTATTAGAGGGCGAAACACACAACAAGCTTTGATGACAGCCCACATCTCCAGCTGGTTTATGTGTAATCGACTCTCCTTCTTGGACCAAAGGGCATGGATTCTGTAAGGACCACAGTGAGCTCCCCACCCTGTGGGGCTTGCGTCCATCGTAACTTGAACTATGAGTTGTAATGGGCGGAACAGGCAACCCATTAGAAGATTCAGAATGAATGTCCACCATTTCAGTTGCTCTGCCAACTCTGGAGTAACATGGAGACGCTTGGAAGGGTTGTCTGCTATAGAGTTGAATAGGGACAGATACCAAGCCTGTAGGGCACACATCTTTAACCTTGCATGAGGGAGAGCGGCCATGGTTGATGCCATCAAGCCCAGGACATGCTGAGTGTGGTGCGCAGATACTCCAGCGTTTGGGTGAAAAAGAGAAATAGCACATCTTAGTTTGTTGACATGTTCTGGTGGAAGAAACACTCATGCTCGTATAGAGTCTAGCTATGCACCTATATAGTCTATAACATAGGTTGGGGAACAGGGGTAAATTACCCCAAATGGGGTAAAAGTGAAAATCCTGGGGGTAATGAGCAGAGTGCTACCCCCTAACTCCCACCCACCCCACCCCCACCCTCTGCAGCCAAACCTCAAATTGTAAGCCATCTCTCCCTGTTACTCCCTTGGTTGCAGCAGGGCACTTGTACATCCTCCGTTCATTCAGAGATCGGAGATAAGCCTGCTTGATTGGTTGCAGCTGTGGAGGGAGGGAGAAAATGGAAGGAGGGGGTAAATGGAGGGAGGGTGTCTGTGTGTGTGTGTGTGTGAGAGAGGGGGGGGAGAGAGAGAGAGAGAGTGAGAGAGAGACTGACTCAAAACTATGAAAAAAACAGGCAAGAAAAAGAGAATCCTTGAATTGGGGGGGGGGAAGGGTGACTTTTTAAGGTGCTGTCCAGGTTTATCATTGCTTTCCTTCCAAGAAGCAGGCATCTTTGCATTTCATGGCTGCTGTCACCCTCTGCAGTGATCATGGAGCCCAAGAAAGTAAAATCTGTCACTGCCTCCATATCTGCCCCTTCTATTTGCCAGGATGTCAGGACGTTGACTTCATAGTCTGATCAATGTCGATGTCAACGTGGTGGTGGTGATGGAGATGATGAGGAGGCATAGACATTTTATCCTCCTACGTTTACCATGGCTGTCGACCTCATAATATTCTTCTGTGTCGAAGTCACCCTCTCGATATTGACATCAACCAGCTCTGCGCTGGACCTCAACATAAACGGGTTCATTGGAATCAGGAGATGCTCGATGTGAGAGCCTCTCAAGATCACTACCACTTCCCAATGTGATGACTGGCGGAGAGGTGGTGAGGCATGCCTCCTTTTAGCCATTTTCTTTCTGGGAGACGTGCGCTCTCTAGAGTGCTCTGAGTCCGATCAATGTATGATAATTGCCCACCTGGTGTTTACAGGGCTAGAATGGGCAGAAGCCTGGCTGAAAGCAATCTCAGCCTATAAACGGCTCGGACTCGGGGAGTGGCTTGGTAGCGAGCGCAGAGTCTGTGTAAATGGGTGACGAGCGGGAGTCCCGCTGTCTGAAACAGACTCAGTATCAGGCAAATCTCTGGAAGATTCCTCTAAAATCGGTGAAGGTAGAGACTCTGAGATTGTTGCTAAGTCACGCTGCCAATCCTTTAAAGAGGTCTTTACTTTCTTATGTTTGACTGTCTTCTTACTTTTCAGACTATCTACAGTTGAATGCTTTGCTGAAGTTGGAGTCGATCCAGACACCTTCCTAGATGACATCGTAGGGGATTTCGCTAGTGAAACCGGGGCACTGCTGCCGCTGAAGGTTCGGGACAAGGGACGGATGGTTGGGTCGTACTTGATTCCATCTGCAATTTGGCAGTTGAAAGAGACTTGCTCCAGAGGTAAGCTTTAAGTCTCTGTTCATGAGACTTTAGCACGGGCTTGGAAAGATTCTTACAATGCGAGCAGGAATGGGGCTGGTGACCTTCCCCTAGGCAAAATAAACAGTGATTGTGTCCATCGGTGAAGGGAACTTTGGCAGTGCAGGACACACAACGCTTAAACAGGCCCGCGGAGGCCATAAAAGGCCGGCCTCATGATGAGAACAAATCAGTAAACTCTCACAGTAAGATGAATAATAAAAACCAGTCCGAATCAATCCGAATAATGGTGAAGCAATAATAAGAAGTCCGAAACATGATCAAAAAGGGAAGTCGATTTACCGAAAAATCAAGTCGTGAGGGGAAATCAGTCCGGATAGAAAGGTGGGAATCTGAAAGTAGCCCAAATCAAGCCAAGGAACAACATACAAGATCAGGAGGCAAAACAAAGTCAGAGTATTCCGGGTCATACACAAAGGAGACAATCAGTTTAGAATCAGGAAGAAATTAGGAGCTGTAGCAGAGAGGTTCCAATTGCGACGGCAGCAAAAAGGAACTGAGGTTTGGGCAGGTGGAGCATGCGTGATAAAGGGCAACATATTACTAATGTTTCTTTTTAAGCTCTAGAATATTCCGAGGATCCAGCCACAAGCACAGTTAAAACCCAGTTGTGTAGATTCACAGAGGCCACGTAGAAGAATGAGATATTTGATAATAAATGCATTTATAGGAGACTATATGGGAAATATTGGAAGAAAGCAGAAATACCATGCCTAGAAGAGCTGACAGAAAAGATACTAGAAGTGGCGGAGATGGATGAACTAACAGAAGCACTAAATGAAAGGTCATCTCAAAAAGGACTCAAAACTGGGAACGATTTTACAGCTGGACTTGAAAGATGGATTGGAAAGCATATAACAATAACAGATAAAAGAAGAATGTGAAGGTCCAACTAGGGAATGGAGAGATTAGTAACTATAGCAATTCTGATAAAACATGTTAAGTTATTCTTTTTTGTTATCTTCTTTTAGTATAATTGTAGAAGTGGATGTACAAGTACTCTCTCGCTCTCTGGAATTTTACCTTTCCCCTTCCCATATCTACTCCATATCTACTCCATCCACCTACCCCTAATCCTATCCCCATTGAAAACAAATAATTTTTATTAAAAAGAAGCTACTTGGATGAGTAGTGAAATGTTTCAGTCTAACAAAAATGAAGTCCAGTTGCCATGTCTTAATTTCCAGATTTGTTACAAGTTATTTCCAAGCAGATGAGGAAGAATTTCTGAAAATGTACACATTTGTTCATGTTCAAGATTGAAAGATATGAGGTTCCAAATTCTAGGGAAAGGGAAAATGACAGATTTCCCAGTTCCTACAAAACCAAGATTGAAAGCAAGTTGTGTCACTAAGATCAGGTCTGATGTTTTAAGAAATGGATGCAAATTCATTCAGTTTCCATTAAAAAGAATAACAACTGTGCCTTCTATTAATAATGATCCCACTTATTTAACAAAGTATAACATGGGTCAGACAGATCTAATGTACGTTTAAATAAGAGTAAGCCCACCTATTGCAAGAGGACTCATGCTCAAATAACTGCCAAAGGACTGGAAACTTTGTGACTAAATAGGAATAACTGCCTTGTAGTATCACCTTTCAGATTTCTGTCTACTGCTTTGGCAAATCAAGGTCCCTGTAAATATTTCCACAAGGCATAAGCAAATATCAGTTGAGTGTGGCAAGTCTTAAAAATCATAATTCTGGATATCTTTCAAAATGTTTGTTTCAGTTGCTGTCAGTTGTACCTATTCTGCGAGGGCCAAATGCCAGTTTTCCCCCCATGCCAAAATTTAGTTGATTCTATGACAGATTAAAACAGACAGCAAACCCCACAGAGACTTCTTTGTTTCCATGTTTTATAAAAACAATTTACAGCCCCCATGAAAAAATTATATGGATAGGACACAGCTTTATGAATTTTGCAACTTTTGAATGATTCATTATAACATTTCCAAACTGCTAACAGATTGCAAATAACAAACATTATCTAATTGTTATGGAGGAAAAAAGAGAGATATTAAGGTTAAAACTACACTGAAATTACTTGGCAAATTTATTCTCTGCTTTTTGACCGTTATTAAAAAAAGGGTTACTACATATTTTTAAGTACCAGCAGAATTACAGAAGTTAACAATAACAAAGTATAGCAGGAACAGATTAAAAACAGAAATTTAGCAGTAAAACAGTCTTTGTCGTAAATGGCTTGCCTGAAAATAAAAGTTTTGACAAGTCAATGAAAAGGAATAACCTCTCAGATTTGATGCAGTGAAACTGAGAGTCAAATGGCACACGGAATTAAACCAGAGCTTAGACTAAAAGATGCCTTTTTAATGAAGATAGTTAGCAATTTTGTGTTTGTGTGTGTGTGTGTTTGTGTGTGTGTATGGCAAAATTGGGAGCAGTAGTAATAAAAATAAAATGTGGCATTTACATGGCATTTCCAAGTATTGAAAGTATATTCCATATCTAAGTCATCCTTTCCAAACCTGCTGTTTCCCAGATGTTTCAGAGTACAGATTCCACTATCCACAGCCATCTTGGGAATGACCAGGATAGTTGAGGATGATGGGTTCCATAGTCCAACATATCTAGAGTAATCCTTACAACAGTTCTGCTACATAAACCAAAAGAATTTGGTATGCAGTCCCCTCCACCCTAATTTGATTCAGGCCGAGTCAGCGGTAGCTTGCTTAATGCCTACCGAGACTGATGTGGCACTTGAACTGGGATGCATTCCAAATCTCTGTATCCACTTTGAATTGGTTGCAGTAAGACCACAACTTACCCAAGTAGCTATGAGCTGGCTTCTCTTCCACAACTTTGATTCTTCTTGCTCCTGCAGGTATCACCAAAGCTTCCACATAACCTAGTTTTAAAAATGAAGTATATCACACGTGCACAATTTTAAAAACACTGCACATTTTCTTTACATGAAATTGTCCACAAAGATCTGAAATCATATTTGTTCTAATTGTAAGCAGGTCTACTGGAGCCTATGTGCTTGTTTTGATTTTGTGCTTCATACTACCATTTCCTTATGGAAATCACTCACAATCATCTTATTGCTGGCTGAAGTTTCAGGGAGTTGAAGTCTGGAACATCCATAGGACCAGAGGCTGAGAGCTCTAAGCTTAAAGAAATGTCCACTACTGTTGTTTGAGGGTATTTTCACATTCATTTTGCTTTGGACATTAGACATAACATCTTGCAGTTTATCAAGCTAAAGGAAAGCCTAGTTACAGAGACTTACTTTTCTTCCCCAGAAATACATTCAGGAAAAGAATGTGTTGGAGGCAGATTTGGACTGTGTTAGTTGTCCTTGGGGCTGGTTTCAAAGAGAATATGTGAGAAATGTCTTCTACTCCCTTCTAAAAATGAATCCACAATAGACTTCTGTGTATTTGCCAAATACTCTGTACCTACTTTACATAGTGGATGAAATCCTGTTGCTTGGCTAGTAAGTTGCACTGGAGTGGGTCCATTGAATCAGTGGAGATCTATTGAGTTAATTCCTCCATATGTTCCACTGATTCAAATGGGCTTGCTCTAGTTGTAACTTACTACAACGAAGTAAGTCATAACTCGAGTAGGCCAATTTGAATCAATAGAATGTATGGAGGAGTTGACTCACCAAATCAATAGGCATGATTCAACAGGCCTTACTTTAGTGTGACTTATTACTCCAAGCAACAGGATTTCAGCCATTATTTGTTTTATATATTAATATTTATTTCAAGTAGCTTAAAGAGGTACACTCAGTTCTCCAGTTCACTCAGTTCTACTTAATCCCTCAACAACCCTATGTGATAGAAAATCGTCAGTACACTGTATGACAGTAGAGATGATCACAGATTTCCAAATTCTGGTGTGTCATTTTAACTGTTACATTGATTATTACTACTTAAATCCCTGCTACAGAAGGGATGCCACAAGTGTACTTCCACACAGTTAGGCAGGATCTCTTTGTAACACTGCTGGCGAGAGAGAAGTTGAGAACTGCTGGCTCAGCACATCTGACAACTGGTTAGACTGAACCTGTTGGCCAGTTAAAAGCATTCTGTTCTCCAAGCATCCAAGGCTCATTCCAAAGTAGACTGAAGTGCAGATTATATGAGACTAACTCTGATCTGAGCCTAAGAATAAATACTGTATTTGCCAGTGTATAAGGCGACTGGGAGTATAAGACGGCCCCCCAACATTCCCACTCAGAATGTAGAGTTTGTTATATACTTGCTGTATAAGACTACCCCCTCTTCCGCATGCGTGATTCTGCTTTGGCTGCATCATGGGGAGAGTTCCTTTTGCCCCTTTTGGTTACTTTTCGGAGATGGCAGCCATTTTGGAGAGGCGGCAGCCATTTTGGAGAGGCAGCAGCCATGTGGTCGCATCTCAAAATGGCTGCCGCCTCTGTGCTGTTCCGCCAGTCAGCTGTTCGGCGCTAGAGTCAGGCTGTTCCCAGGCTAGGAGTCGGGCTCTACTGGGGCTTACTACCAGGGAAGTGACTTCGCTGGGAGAGAGGGAGGGTTTGCTAGACATGCACCCGGCGTACAAGATGACCCCCCCCACTTGGAGGCATGTTTTCAGGGCCAAAAAGCCGTCTTGTACGCCGGCAAATACGGTAAGAGTTCTGACAGGAGCAAAAAAATACTAGTCATCATGTGGACAACCATGTATCTAGACTGAGGCAGCAGCCAACTTGAACACCTCACACCATCTTCTGTTTAAAGCCATTCTTCCTCCTGAACTACACAGCAGACAGGCTGGGCACTTCTGACATTATGAGCAGATTATGAGCAATATTAGCATTTGGTTGTCAGCACAAAGTTGAGCAGGTAGAAAACTGGGGCTTGTTCTGATCCAATCCTGAACTTGTTCTTATCTTCCCCCTGCTCCACGTCCCTGTACATTTGTTGCTTAAGACATCTCAACTCTCCTAATACTTGTATTGTTGGAATGATCAAGAATTAGTATCTCTCTTCTGGCTTTCTACACTGCTCTGAAATAATATAGTGTACTTCCAACATACTGTCTCCTTTCACCATGTGTACAAACTATACAATCATCAAAAGGAAAAGCTACAACATAACACCCTTGTTTTTCATTTCTCCTGTATCTCTTGCATCAAAACAGATTACCTTGTTGTGATTCTTCTTAACATTTCTGATATCATCTAAAATTTTTTGTCAGATTACTGTCCAAGCAACACAGTCCTGTGTGCATTTTTTTCATATTCCAAGCATTATAATATTTTATTCTAGTAAAAATATTTGCAACTTTAAATGGGTAACATCTAAGAGAATAAAAAATGATGTCATCACTGATATCAGTCACAAATTTCACAGTCCTCATTTGGATTTACCCATATATTTTAATTCCCTTCAAGAGCAGGCCACACACATCCTGTGTGTCAATGAGAGAACATAACATCCATGTGTGTTTAATAATAAGAACATAAGAATATAAGAAGAGCTCTGCTGGATCAGACTAACATTCCTACATCAACAAAAGATTTCAGAGATAAATTTTCTATGTTTACTTTCCTCCAGAGTAGGCAGGGGGCAAGGAAATGGAACTCCCAGGTCTCATCAGAAATGACTTGGCACATTCTGAGTAGACATACCCAAAATAAACAAATATATAGGCATGCATGTTATATGCATAGACTATGATCTGCAGTTAAATGAACATAACAGAGCAAGACGTTGCTTCAAACATTTCTTTAGGCAGAAACCACAGCAGTGACACTGATTCAACAAAAACAAACAGTGCTTTATCATTAAGACCACAGATAAGCATTGTGGTTGCAAATGTCCAGAGCTATGCATGCTTAATTCTCAGAGAAATGAATGGGATTTGTATCTGTGTAACTAGGCATAGATTGCTGCCAGCACTTTTATAGTCCTTTAAGTTAGTTCCATTGAGTAATATGTACATGAATCTGCCCAGAAAGCTATTTTTGTAACCGAGAGGAGGGGAGAGGACTTTATAAGCAGTTGGCTACTGTGCTAGAATAGACAGAGAAGCCTTGATGCTCAAACACAATCCTTTTTGTGAAGGTAAATAAGCTTTCTGGATAATGCTTAACATAGTTAAAATGTGGGATCTACTTTAGGAACCATTTCTGTGAAGACTTACATTTAGTTTATTGCAACAGATAAACATTTCCTTCAGTATCATTTTATGTAGCTGATAATCAGTCATCTTCAATACTGAGCAGATTTTTCAGTGTTTGTTAATGCATATTTATTTCTGCTTCTTAGACTTTCAGACAATTGTGGTTCTGCTTTCTTTCTATCTACAAACTATCTCCACTCTGAAACATAATCACACTGAAATGTCAGAACCTGTCTCTAATCTTCTTTTCTAAAACAGTATGTGGTACAACGCAGATTTTAATGTTTATTGCTTTTTAAAATTTTCTGGTTCTAACTAAATCATCTGCACTAGAATACTTACATTAAAGCCTAAAATTAAATAATTCTGAAGAAAGCTGTTTAAATTAGAGTTCCTACTTGCTTCAAAAATTATGCTTGGCTTGATGAACCTGGTGAAATGATGAAATCAATCAAAATTGCACATCACTTTACATTTTATGCTAAAATGAGTAAGAATTTTTTATTTATCACAATAATCATGTAATGAGGGGAGGAGAATTTTCGCAGAGGATGAAATGTTACTTCCTAAAAACTTTCTAAATTATGCATATCTGAGAAGATGTTTTCCTCCTGTATATTTTCCATCTACATTCCATGGGGATTTCTGAGAGTAGGTAAATGCCATGGTCCAGAAATCCAGTAGTGGCTGGGACAACAGAGTCAGAAGCTGAGGAAATGGAGTTGCTAGCAAATCAAACCCCAGACCCTAAGCGTCACTGGAGAATTAGACATCCCTGGGCCAATTATCTCCATTACTAAGACCCCTGAGCATATGTCTAGCACTGGACCAAAATATATTCCTCCAAGACCAAAAAATTGCTGAAGTCAGTGTGCCAACTGCAGCAGCATGCCAACTGCAAATTATGAGAGAATTACTGCTAGGTTTCAAGAAACAACCCTATCCTTTTAAGGCTTCTTTTTTCATGGGAAAAGATGGAGCCTAGGAGAGGTAGAACTGGCCCTTAAATACAAAAAAACTCAGCTGTGTTTCAGATCTTGTTGGAATAATGTGCTTCTTCAGAGCTACAGTTGGTGCTGTCTAGCCTGTCCTTTATCACAATATCTACGTTAGATCAAGGCTGCCGTAGTTTGTGAAACAGATCCATGAGCATGTTGGGGAGGAAGATTCAAGGAGACTTGTGATGTGCAACCATATTGCCGATGTTGAGCCTTACCACCAGTGGGAATACAGGAAGTGTTATGTTTACATATGTAAAGTTGTCCCCAGGCACACATTCCTGACATACCCAACAACCCATCAGTACACTTTCAATGGAAAGCTTGGATTGTTGCATAATTTTATGAAGTTTTATAAATCATGGAGGGGAAATGGCTAGGGTATTTGTAATACACAGATTTTGTTTCTTTTTTAGCTATTTTAAGTGTTTAAGGCTGCCTTATCTCTTTTTCAATGCAGAATAATTTTAAGTGCTTTTTTGAAAACAAGTATATCAGAATTGTGTTTATGAAATCATAAAATTTGTTAAAAATGTAAATATTGAATCAATGTATATTTAATTTTTTCTCTCTCTCTGAGAATGATCTTTTTTCTTTCCTTAATTTAAGACATCATCTTGGTAAAACGCTAATTCAGACAAATATTTATATTCAGCTATAGTAAATAAACCCAGGTATTATGTATCACAAAATATGCAGAGAGGTTTAGTAAATACTTGTTCCCATCTGTTCCTAATCACCCACATCTCAGCAATAAGATCTCTGAGACTGGGTAAAAATGCTTTTCCTGATAATCACTACTTATCGGGAATGTTATGCTATAATCTAATCAACATAGAAGATAGGGAACTATTAAACAAATTCTACAATGTATAACACGCTCAGCTACCTCACAGAAACATTAATTACATTAAAAAGTGGTTTACCTGCTCCTCGAGTATGATTAAAATCTCCTTTAACAACTCGACAGGATTTTCCGTCTCCATTGCAGACACCACAGTGGTCTTCCCATGCCAAAGATCCCAATATGCCATCACATCCAAACTTCTGAGTAAAAAGGAAATATCATCATATTCTTGTGAAGGCTAAATGATGTCTTTTAATGCTGTACACAATGGAACAGAGTTTAATATTACAGTAACTTGACCCATCTTAAGAAAACCAACAACAGATTTTAGTCGTGGGAAAGTACATTGACCTGTGGAGGTAGTAATTCTAATGATTTCCATTCACTGAACTGGACAGTCATTTTTTGGTTCTTTCCTAGATTTTTAGAGACAGAGGGACATGGCTACTTCTTAGAGCATAAACTTCAAGGCTGAAGTCCAACCTAAGTCTAGTTATCAGATAATATTGCTGTATCAAATTAACATATAATTATATCATTTCTGTTCCTCATTATTAAATGAAGTCATTTGTACTGAACTATATTTCTGCATATCTAAAATGTAAATGAAATTAAATATATATTCAACTTTTTCTTAAGGCTGAGCATCTTGGTATTTTTCTTCAAAATTGGAATTTTTGCCCTCTTGATGTAAACATTAAACTTTTTTTGAAGTTCCTTCTCCTGAACCATTTTAACCTGCAGTGCCAACTACCCTTCTCAATAGCCAGGGTCTTACTGATAATCCTACTAACCTATTTAAAAAACACTGCCATAGTTATGTCTTCATGAATTTCAAGGTAGGAACACTTATACTCCATGAAATGCTCTTAAAGGAATATCTGAACCAGTTGTCTGTAACATAATGTGTTACTTAACCTGGTTACCCAGCGGGGAATTTCATACTAAACTTTGTTTCTTGACTACCTGACTGATTTTGGGTCGTGTGTGTGCACTAGCATGCACTTCTACATTAAAGGGTGGGTGTGCTGAGTGAAGAACACAGCTTAATGTATTTTCATGTTCCTTGACACACATCCTAGTCAAAGGAAAACTGTTTGAAACTGAGGTTACCCTAGAGGACTGGAGCCAGAACCATAGCCTGCTGGCTTGAGTATCACACATGCACAGTGTGACAAAGTGTGCCAGTGTGACTAGAGCTGCCATCTGGGTCTGTCACATTTAGTTCCCTAATAATTTCAGTGGGGTTTACAAGGAAGTTTCTTAGAAAATTTTGACAAAATTCATAAATAGATGATGATGATGGTCATTATAATCTGTCTTGGGTCCCTAGCTATAATGGATCGCTTTTTCAAAGCAAGGCAAAACAGGAATTAAATTACATTTACCTACTATGCCTCTCCATTACTATGCAGTACTCAAAGCTGCTACCATATAGTCAAAGGAGAACCAGGTTGAGCTATGTATGTGAGATGCAAATTCTCATTCAAGAAAAGGGCCTATGAACACAACCTTATCTTTAAAATGTTCAAAGAGTCTGTCTGCACAGGTATAGATCATATACTTATGGACCATGGCCAGCATGTGGCAGATTTTCTTTTGCCCCATCTCAGTCCCAAAGGCAGAATACATTTAAGAGCACAGAACAATTTGAGAAATGCTATACAAAAAAAAAATCTATGTATTGGAAGGTTAATTTACCTGACATCTGCCATTTGCACATATATCTAGCTGCTGATGGCCACAGGAAGTTCCATCCATCACTTTCTCTGTTACTAGTACAGGCTGGTCTTTTCCATTTGGAGAGCAAAATAATGCACAAGGTTTTTCTGTATGAATTAGTGGGGGGTGGGGGAACACGTCAGCTTGATAAAACCTTTTTTTAAAGGAAAAGCAATTTTTCCCTATCTTCCACTAAACTATATTACTACTATATTTGTAATTATGGACATATTCCAAAGGGAACTTCACACAAACATGCACCATTAAAATAAAGTGCTACACAATACCCCGCATTCTCTGTCATTTAAATATGCTGTGAACAAAGAAACTACCTCTTTGAGTAGGCTTTTCAAAGAAAGGGCATATTTTTAAATCCTTCTTGCTCTCCTGCAGATTGCATAGGCTAATGTATATAGAAAAGTACTGCTTTGCACAGTGATGTCAACTAAATGAGAAGGCATCATTCTGAGAAAAAAAAAACGGGAATAGCTGCTGCTAGAAATGTAAAAATGTTGTTTTGGCTTACTAGCCATCTTTTACTTCAGATCATTGCCTCCATCTTAGCAGTGGTCTCTCACATGAACAGTGCCATTTAGGGAAAGGAAAGCATATACACCCAAGTATGGTACAATATAATGATACATGCTGCATGGTTTGAACTTTTTTGCAAACTACAGTCATGGCCAAAAATACTGGCACCCTTGCAATTCTGTCAGAAAATGCAACCCTCCTCTCAGAAAATAGTTGCAGATGCAAATGTTTGGTACTCACATGTTCATTTCCTTGGTTTGTGTTGGAACAACACAAAAAACAGAGAAGAAAAGTCAAGTCTGATACAATCCCACACAGAAACTCAAAAATGCAGTAGCCAAAATTTTTGGCACCCTTAACTTAATACTTGGTATCACCCCCTTTGGAAAAAATAACTGAAAATAAATTGCTTCTTGTAACTATGAATGAGTTTCTTACACCTTTCTACTGAAATTTTGTACCACTCTTCTTCTGCAAACTGTTCCAGGGACTTTAGATTTGAAGGATGCCTTCTCCCAAATGCTGTTTTGAGATCTCTCAACAAATGTTCTATGGGATTCAGACATGGACTCAGTGCTGGCCATTTCAGAACTCTCCAGTGTTTTGTTTGTAAACATTTCTGAGTGCTTTTTGAAGTGTGTTTCGGGTCATTGTCCTGCTGGAAGACCCATGGCCTCTGGTGGAGACACAGCTTTCTGACACTGGTTACTATGTTGTGCCCCCAAATTCTTTGGTAATCATCAGATTTCATGACACCATTCACATAGTCAAGACATCCAGTGCCAGAAGCAGCAAAGCAACTCCTAAACATCTTTGAACCTCCACCATGTTTGACTGTAGGGACTGTGTTCTTTTCTTGGAATGCCTCATTTCTTTTTCTGTAAACAGTGCCATGATGTCCTTGGTCCTTGACCAAAAAGCTCTACTTTTGTCTCATCTGTCCACCATACTTTCTCCCAGAAGGATTGTGGTTTTGTCACATAAGTTTTGGCATACTCCAGTCTTGCTTTTTTATGCCTTTGTGTCAAGAGTGGTGTCCTCCTGGGTCTCCTTTCATAGCGTTCCTTTTCATTCAGATGGCGACAGATAGTGCGAGCTGACACTGTTATACCCTGTTTCTGCAGATCAGCTTGAATTTGTTGGGAAGTTAACCTGGGTTCTGTATTCACCATTCGAACAACCCGTTGTAATTTTTCAGGAATTTTGCTCTTCCGTCCATGTCCAGGAAGGTTAGCTACAGTATCATGGGCTGTAAACCTCTTGTTGATATTGCGCACAGTGGACAGAGGAACATTAAGGTCTCTGGAGATGTAGCCTTGAGATTGCTGATGGTTTTCCATAATTTTTTCTCTCAAATCCACAGACAACTCTTTATACTTCATTCTTTTCTCCAAAGGCCACTTTTGTCCATCTTAACTGGTTGCAAGTGTGATTACTATATTGCCCACACCTCTTACTTGCGACAGGTGTGTCTAAATAGAAATTAAAGGAAAATCACATGCTTGAAATGCAGTTATTTCTTAAAATTTAGACAGCTGCATTAACTGTGCATTTTGGGTTTTTGTGTGGGATTTATCAGATTTGACTTTTCTTCTCTGATTTGTTGTTGTTGTTGTTGTTGTTATTGTTGTTCCAAAGCAAACCAGAGAAATGAACATGTGAGTACCAAAACATTTGCAACTGCAACAATTTTCTGAGAGAAAGGTTGCATTTTCTGACAGAATTGCAAGGGTGCCAATATTTTTGGCCATGACTGTATAATACAAATGAGAGTATTAGGATGGTGAGTGTTGGCTACCAGTAAGCATCCTGTTCACCTTTTCCCTGGCAAACTAAGTGATGCCTGCTAGGGATACATATATATGAAAACGTAGGCTTGGCAATCTGTCAACACTGTATTTTAAAGAAAGTATTCCATGACCAACTAAGATATATGTAAGACTTGGTTGTCCGCCAATATCCAGTGCAGGGGACACAAAATATTTAAATGTGAAAAACCATAGTTCCTTTTTTCTTCTTTTAAAATAAATGTACACACCTTCTCAAGCAATGCACTGAAAAGCTATACAACTATACTTCTTTGTTTCTGTTGCATATTCTGACTGACTTATATGGAGACTAAATAGCAGAGATCATCTTGCCTCCTGCCATAGCACTGAAATATTTATGTACTTTTTGAAAAACATGCAAGTCTTAAGGTTTTTTTTAATGTCAAACACCCATGGTAACATGCTGATGGTAGTAATCTGGGTTATGCTTACCTTCATCTATCACAGCCTGCCACTGGTGTACATGCTTCTGATAAGATGGCCTAACAGCAAAGACCTGACACTGCCAGTCCCTGAATGCAGGTACTCCAGGAGGACAAGAAGGATTCTCACATATTTTATATTGTATTCTGGAACCATGGCATTCTCCCCCTTCATGAACTGGACTAGGAAAGACAAAAATAAAAGTAGTAACTCATGTGCTGGAGGTAATTCCAGTAATTCATTCAGCTTCCACAAATTACATTTCATCTATTGTTTAGGGTTGCAAGAAGTAACAGTGAAGATTGCTGGCAGCTTGCTTTTCAGAAGTGTTTCTATGTCTTAAAGGAGGGTCTACCATAAGATAGATACTCTATAAGAACAGATAGCAAGTGTCTTACAGTCATGCCACATGAACATTTTTGCTCCAAGTCAGAAATTAATGAACCTTTGAGTTCCTCCTTCCTTCTACCCTTGAGCAGGGAATGCCACACTTGAATTAGTCTCTCCATATTTCCTAAAAGTGCAGTGGAGTGATGAACTACACAAAAAGCATGATTCCCTCTTGGTTGACCATTGATGGATTACAAACAATCCAATGAATACAGACAAGCCTGAATCCAATGGTGTCATTGCACTATTGCAAGTTTTGCTGATTTGTTGTATACATATTTGCAGAATTAGGTCAAGGGTGGTATCCACAGCAGTTTTTCACTGCACAGGTAGGTAGACAATATAGATTGCATGTTTGTACTGCTACTTGCACTCTGCTTGCAATTGATGGATCCAGCTGAGCTATATTAGTAAATATTTTCATCCTGTTACAGTAGTTCCATGCTGGATTTAAAGAGGCAAACTACAGGTATCTTATTATACTGTATATAATGGGAAAGTCCACTTCTGATTTCTTTCTGTTTGTTAAACTTTGAGATGATCAGGTCTTGGAAGTTCAGGTGGAAATATATTATGAGAGGTAATAGGCAGATTAGATTTGGCTTGATTCAGGATAGAGCTAAGAGTCCAAGAGCAGTATTTTTCTCTTGCCAGGTGAGCCCTTTCACCACAATGATACCTATCTTTATTAAACAGGCAAATATCTTCAGTTAAGCATACCAAATCCTTTTGTGAGGCTACATGGTGTAACACTAGCACCATAACTTTTGGAGATGAGTTGTCTGAAGTTTGCTGAGCTGTGTGGCTGAGGGTCTTATATGCCATCAAGACACACAGATTTACAGTGCCCCTAACAGGATTTTCAAGTTAAGTGAGATAGTTAAGGAACAGTTTCAGCACTGCTAGCCCACAGTGAGTTTCCATGGCCAAGTGGAGTTTGAACCCACATCTCCTGAATTCTATCCCATTGCTTCATGCACTACAACACAACTATAAAAATTACACTTTTAAGACCATGCTGGTATAATATTATATTGTATTATCATGTATCCAGATTTCCTGTACAGATAATTTGTGCACAATCAAATGTAAGGAATTTACTAAGATGTAGCTTGTATAATATGTGGAACTTCCTCCATGCTATACTGGCTGAAATCCTGTTGCTTTGCATAGAGTAGAGGAGGTCCATTTGACTCAAGAAACTTAATGGTGGCTGATTCACTAAATCTCCACTGATTCAATGGGCCTGCTCTAGTACAATTTATTATGCAAAACAACCAGCTTTCAGCCAATGTGTAGCACAGTGGTGTCGAACTGTGGCCCTCTAATTTATTATGCAAAACAACCGGCTTTCAGCCAATGTGTAGCACATAGCTAAGAAAATGAACTATGAACCAGGAAACGCCCCCCCAATACCTGAACCCACAAAGAAATTTTGGGAAAGCCGCTCTGTCAACTTTTGTCTGCCCATCCACAATACGAACAATTATTAAATAATATTACTGGCTTACCTTACAGATTAACTCTACGCATCACTGAGGATATTTGAACACACTATACAAATGTTAAGTATTATAAGGTTTATCCTTTTTACCCAGAGCATCTACGCTGTCGACTGCTGATTCCAGTGTTGCAGGTTCTGCTACAGGTGCTCCATGTACTCCATTCTGACTCCATGTGTCCAATGAAAGATGTTTTACTGGTACATTCTCCAGCCTTACACCACTATTGTAAAAGTCAGGTTTTAGATTAAAATATATGAGGCACATTCCAAACAATCTACTGTTCCATATGGTTAAATGAGTTTCCTCCTTAAGAATGGGCTATAACAAATAACAATCTGAACTTGTATTGAGCATGAATCCATACAGACTGATACCACCTTTTACATGAGAAGCACACCACTTAGGGATGAAACCAAATACAAAAAGAGTGTCTTTGCTGGTTTGTTTTCAAAGCTGCAAAGAGTGGCTCTTGCTAAACAGACTGCAGTTGGCTTTATAGCTTAGTTGGTTGGAGCAAGTGGTTCCAGAGTCAAACTCAGAAGGTAAAATCCCCACTGTCTTCTCCCTCCCCAAGAAGAAGAGACAGACTATGTAGGCTTGAGCAAGCAGCATGGTCCCAGAGTTTCACCAAAAGGTATTGGAAAACCACTTGTAAGGACTTTTTACCTAGAAAACCTTGGGAGATGTTGCTATAAGTCAGAATCACCTTGACAGCACATGATTAGTTAAGTCTGTATAATCCATATTGGCCCTACAACAGCCTCTGTACCAGTGGTACTGATGAACAGACAGTATAAATTAGGGATAAATATGGCTTGAGACTAAATTTACAAACTGCAAAGGTTGGACTACAATACACATCTCATACTTTTTTTTAACTTGAAATCTACTATCTGGATAAATAAAATGATATTAAATATACAAGAATAAAAGAGCTGGAGAAGAGTCCATCATGGATGGCAATCCCATACCTTCTGATGCAACCTGAAGAAGTGAGTCTGGAAAACTAGATTGCAATCTTAAAGTTGTCACAATACTTTTATCTTCTCTTTTGCTTTCTTTTTGGTTGTGTTTTAATGTCGATGGCCTTTCAAAATTTTGTACACAATTGGTAGGCAGAAAAATTGGGAGGGAAATTTCCCCGAATTTCTCCAGGGAGAAAAGGAGAAATTTTCCAGGGAGAAAAGAAATACAGTGGTGCCCCGCATGATGATGATAATCCATTCCAGGAAAATTGCTGTTAAGCGAAAAGCCTTTCCCCATTGGAATGCACTGAAACCCATTTAATGCGTTCCAATGGGGAAGCTACCTCGTCGTCCAGCGAAGATCGCCCACAGGGAAGCCATTTTCCGAGCGTCTATCAGCTGTTAAAATGGCTGCCCTGCGAAGCATGGGTCCGGAAAACACAGGGCAGCCATTTTAGGAACCCGACAACCAGCTGTAAAGATCGTCTTGTGAATAAACAGTCCACGAAGCACGGACCAAATTGTCGTCAAGCAGAATTTCCCCATAGGAACGACTGTTTTGCGAATCGCTATAGCAATCGCAAAGCCAGCGTCACGCGGTTTTGTCGTACAGCGGGGTTGTCGTATAGCAAGATACCACTATACTCCAAAAGTTTGCTGAATGTGAATCTCCCCATCGGCAGTTGCTGTAGCACAGCTTCATTGTGAGAGTTTCATTGTTGCTGTTGTTGTTGCTGCCACTGCCACTACAAAAGCCAATAGCATCATCTGGACACTCTTTTGCATCCTCCACTATGTTCCACATCTAGCATAAATTCAGGGCATTACACAGGGGTGTTACAGAGCAGTCAACATATAACATAATATGCAACTCTCAGACGCCCTGACCTGATATGCCCTTTGCTCATACTGCCTAGGGGATTCTGCAAACTGTAATCCCAAAATACGCTTCATTTTTCCTGTGCTCTGACCACTTTCTCTAATCTAACTTTGTTATGCTAATCAAAAAAAGTGTCCACACAATACCTTATGTGGACAATTTGACTGCTGTTGGAAAACATTTGGGGCACTCTACTGTGTACTGCTGTATAAGGTGACAGATTTTACTTTCTTGGGCTCCATGATCACTGCTGATGGTGACAGCAGTCATTAAATTAAAAGATGCCTGCTTCTTCGGAGGAAAGCAATGACAAACCTAGACAGCATCTTAAAAAGCTGAGACACCACCTTGCCGACAAAGGACCTCACAGCCATAGTTGTGGTTTTTCCAGTAGTGTTGTATGGAAGTGAGAGTTGGACCATAAAGAAGGCTGACCGCCGAAGAATTGATGATTTTGAATTGTGGTGCTGCAGGAGACTCTTGAGAGGCCCCTGGACTGCAAGGAGAACAAACCTATCAATTCTGAAGGAAACCAACCCTGAGTGCTCATTGGAAGGACAGATCCTGAAGCTGAGGCTCCAATATCTTGGCCATCTCATGAGAAGAGAAGACTCCCTGGAAAAGCCCCTGATGTTGGGAAAGTGTGAAGGCAAGAGGAGAAGGGGATGACAGAGGACGAGATGGTTGGACAGTGTCATCAAAGCTACCAACATGAATTTGACCAAACTCCGGGAGGCAGTGGAGGACAGGGGGGCCCGTTATGAGGTCACCAAGAGTCGGACATGACTTAACAACTAAACAACAACTGAGTACTGCAGCTAAATTCTGAACTGGCCTTACCACATGTGACAGAGCCAGCCCAAGGCATGTTATTGTATGAGGCTGGAACAGTAAATGGTTCCATCTGGATATTTTGCCACCTGAGGCAGAAATGCCCATAAGCATTTCTTCATAGGAACAAAACAGTAACAACTTTTTTGCTGTTTGCGTCCCCTGTCACAATACTCAAAACCAGCTATGTGAAGCAATTACCCCACTGTGCTTTACAGCAAGCACTCTCTACAGCAGTCATTCTCAAAAGGGGGCCATGGCACATTTGAAGGAGGAAATAGACTGGAAACAATTCTTCACACATCACCTTATATGGCTCATTATGTGACTTATACAATCCTGATTTGGCCTATATTTCTTTCATGTTGTGTTTATGACTGTGGCCAAGACAAGGTTCAGAATTTCTGGTGTACAGGAACACTGCCCCTTCCTGTTGGCCGAACCTTCTAAAGACACAATTTTTTTGCTACAATAGTCTATTTGGGCAACAATTTTCACATTTTATGAGAAACTTTTGAAAGCTCTGCCACAGAATTGGGGGATGTGGCAGCAACCATACTGCCCATGAAAATTATGAAGTGGAGCTATATTAACTAAATTGTGGGGATTTAGCCATCTCAACAGATCAAGCTTGGCACACAGCTAAAACAGACACCCTGCTTTCACTTGCTTCCATTTAGAGTTATGTGCCTATCTGGATTTTCCACACTGTCTTCCTCACTACTTTATGATTGCACATAGTAAAAGAGCACACAAAGTATGGGCAAGACGTACAAATATTCCTTTTAAAAAGGGTTATTTTTGTGCTCTTGTTTTAATAAACTAGGGCAATGATTTTTAACAAACTAGGGCAATAATTCAGAAGGAATAATGTGGATCCTTAACAAGCACTTGAGAACCAACTGTTAACCTAAGTTTTTAAACATCTTCATATTAAAAACCATACAAGTGCAAAATCCATTAGACAGACACTCTGGGTCAGGTTTTGTGACTAAAAAGAAATGAACTAACTAACAACAATAAACCATGAATAGGGAATCTCTTTTTCTTAATAGATTTAGGTGACCCAGAAAAATCCTATTGATTTTAACTGTTTTGGATTTCACTCAGTTAAATTCTTTTGCTAAGTTGCTTTTTCTTGCTGGAAATAAGGGTCTCAGTTTCCACTACTGGATGTGCTTCACAAGGGAATGAGATAATGAGGTGCCAGCTTTATCCTGCAGCATGACGATAAATCAGCATTTTTATTCTATTATAAAATATACTAACATTGTCATGCAAAATACTAGAAATTAGGTCATAAAAAGACAGGGGAATAAACTGTAAGAACAGAAAAAGAACAACCCATTTATTATAGTCTAATGAAGATGTGATTATGAAATGCTTGTCTTATGCGTTTCTATCACAGGCTTAAACCTTTCCAATTAAGGGACAACTCTCTATTGCAGACAGATATCCAAACCTATACATTAACGGTGTATTATGTGCTGTCAAGTTGGAACCATCTTTTAAAAACCTAATAGGGTTTTCAAGGTAATTGAGATACTTACAGAGTGGTTTACCACTGCAATTCCCCCACCCTGTGAGTTTCCTTGACCAATAGGTAATTTGAACCTGCATATTAATTAGGATTACAATATTTAAATCATGTTATTGGGTGTGTTACAAAAATTACAGATTAAACAAAACATAAGATTTTATTTAAGGACAGAATTAAGATCACTTTAAAAACAGCAAACCCAAAACCAAATGATACACAAATTTCACTTATTTATGGTATAACAGAATACCTTTCCGGTGTCACAATCCGTGCCATCCATTGGGGGATCCAGTTTAGTTTTACACTCCTTCTCCCCTTCCACCTTACACCATAATCCAGTGCAAATAACGTGCTGGAAAGATATAGATGTAACAGAAACTAGTAACAGAAAAGCAAATATACATTCTTAAACAATTTCTTAAGGTGACTGCTAGTTTCAAAACAGACTACATATAATGGGAACTAAGTTTTACCTAAAAACAACGCTTAGCTAACGAGTAAAGCCTTTCCCCTCTTATCATGTGAACATTACAGATCAAAGTTTCATGCACATGTATGGACCCCATCCTTGGGAAACCAACATGTTTTTCGACTGAAACTCCCAGCTGGTGGTGAAGGCTTCTGGGAATTGCAATCCAAGAACATATTGTTTGGGAACCATTGCTGTAGATCCACATGCGTTGTCAAGGAAATAATTAATTTTTATGTGGTACGTATGGTAAAGTGTAGTCCACATTAAAAATATATCAAAAATTAGAACTTGTATTTTATAGTACTTATCGATATAGAATTTATAAGACAAGCTATCTACAAATCATTATTTAAAACCTATATATCTACAGTATATATTTATACATTGATAATTATTGGTGGAGGAGTTGTAGAGATGGGCAAACTTTGCATGTCACACACGTGGTTGGTTCAGAAATGAGCTAAGCTATTTCTAATAAAATTGTAAAACAGTTAAGCTAATTACCTAATTGATTAGAAATTTACTGGACAGTTTTCATAGGTGCAGCCTTGCATGACAGCTTTCGTGCAAAATGTTTAGAGAAGCACGCAGTTGGAGGAAGACTGTTGAAGACTAACAAATATGGTTTGGCAAACTTTAGTCAGCCAACCGAATCACTTTGTGTACCTGAAGAAGTCACTAAAGTTTATGCAAAATAAAATTAGTTAAGGTACAACCAGGCTCTTTACTGTTTTAGTTGCAAAAGGCTAACATGGCCACATCTCCACAAAGAGCCATACACATGGAAATCAAACAATTTTAAAGTTTTCCCACTTCCCTGGATGTAACCTTTTCCCTTTTCCCTGTTGAAACCAAGAGAGACATCATTCTCTACTGACTGCAGCAAAATGATCTAGCTGCAACCTTCCACCATATTTTGGTGGAAATACGTCCTACTGAACCCAGTAGACTTAATTCTGTGCAGACAGATATGGGAGTACTCTGTTACAAACAGTAACTCAGTAAATGTCTTCTCATGGGCACATAACCTACTACTGAAGACCCTCTTGTGTTAAAGTTTGTTGGTTGCTGAAAATATTTTGCAACAGTACTTGTTATATTGGGAAGTCTTTAATGCAAGGTGCTGAAGTATTCAGAGGATTGTATTGGGGAGAATTATTACTATGCACTATAATCTTTATTTTTAAAGTCAGGTTTCGTTTCTTTATATAGCTAACATCATCTCATATCTTTCAATATTTACACTTCCATTAAAAATGAAAAAGAGAAAGAAGCTGTTATAATGTTTTTTAAAAATCACTTTGCTATCCTAACTTTTTTTTTCTAAGTCAGTGGTTCCCCACCTTGGGTAACCCAGGAGTTCTTGGACTGTAACATCCAGAAACCCTGACCAGCACAGGCTAAAGTTGAAGACTTTTGGGAACTGTAGTCCAAGAATATCTGGGTTAAACAAGATGGGAACCACTGTTCTAAGGTCAAATTGGTTTGAGCTAGAGGTTGGAAGCTTGATTCCCCACTGTGCCTCCTTGACAGGGGCTGGACTCAATGATCCATAGGGTCTCTTCCAGTTTTGATTGTTCTAAGTGAACTAATAGTTCTTCTCACTTTATTCTCATAACAATCTTGTGAAGTAGATCAGACTTCAGGAAAATAATCTATACAAGGTTACCAAAAGAGTTGCATGTGGGCGCTATAACCTGGATCATTCAAGTCTCAATCAAATGCTTTAACCACCACACCACATGGATATCAAATTCAGAATATTTCTTTCTAAAACAAACTCTTTCATCCTCAAAAACATACCCAAATATATCATCAATACTATTCATATACAAATTAATACTCTTTATTTTCAGGACACAATGCACAATCCCTGCAGATCATGATAATCATCAATGCCATTGAACCATGCCTCATCAGCTTGCAAACAAAATGAGAGGTTCTTCTAATATGCCACAACTACTTTTGATTATTATAAGCAGGTGACACTGGATCTGCAAGGTGCCTCTATCTTCTCATCAGTCACAGTTATTAATGGTATTCTTTGGACATTGTATAATCCAATTAAGAAAACTCATCTGAAGGTAAGTCCACTGTGAAAAACAGATCCATTCTTCTTCTTTTTCACAAAACACATTTACCACACTATCTGACACATTAAATGATTCCTTGTGGAACAGAAAGAAGTATTCAGGGGCACCCACCCAGCCAGCCAGCTGAATACAGTATCTATAGATGTGACTTCCTTTCCCCCCCATAAATAGGCAGAGGTAAGTGCCTGGGATGTGGTGGTGCTGCGGGTTAAACTGCAGAAGTCTCTGTGCTGCAAGGTCAGAAGACGACCAGTCGTAAGATCGAATCCACGCGACAGAGTGAGCTCCTGTCCCTTGTCCCAGCTTCTGCCATCCTAGCAGTTCGAAAGCATGTAAGTGTGAGTAGATAAATAGGTACCACCATAGTGGGAAGGTAACAGCGTTTCATGTCTAGTCGCGCTGGCCACGTGACCACAGAACCTGTCTTCGGACAAACGCTGGCTTTACGGATTGGAGATGGGGATGAGCATTGCACCCTAGAGTTGGATACAACTGGACTAAATGTCAAGGGGAACCTTTACCTTTACCTAAGTGCTAAAGACGTTCAGATACTACTTCTCTACCATCCATGTACAATGTTCCCTCCAAGCTACGTGGCCTCACAGCACTGGATCGGGGCCACTTATTTGCTTCCGGTCACAGCCAGAACTCTGTGAGGATGAGGTGGGGCTCCCATGCAGCACTTTAGAAAATCATAGGGAATGTTGTCCATGTGTAGTTAAAATTACCATTAGATCCTCAAACCCCGTCACCTGAAACTTTGGATAAAGTTTTAATATATTTTCCCATAATTACACCCTAGACCTTATTCTGAAACCTGAAATTCTTCCACAGCAACAGAAATTCCAGTTCAGATTAGCAGCTTTGCTTTCTGAAAAGGGTAGGAGAAGGAAGAGTAGGATCACATCTATTATAGCCTGAACAAGAATGTTCTTGACAGGGAAAACTTGACCTTTTTACACTGAAAAGGGAAAACTTGACCTTTTTACACAAAAAACAAACAAAAAACCCCCCCTGAAATTTAAAAAGGAAACAATTTGGGATAGCTTGGGCAGCTAATGAAGCAAATACTATACAATCATCCCATATTTCATTAACTCTGTATTCTACTATTGAATGAACAAAAGGAGGGAAGGGGGTTTATCTTGATATCAGAAAGGTAGCCCATTATTTTTACCTGCATTTCTTGGCAGAAAGAAGCTGTTGGTCCAAAGAGAATCTGACACTGTTCGTCTGCAGTATATGTCATCCCTGGCAGTTTTGAAGGAATAATCACAGAATTGAGGCTTTGGGGATTTGTCTGTAGCAAGCAGCTACTGGCCTTTGACCTGCCAATACACAGGGGTTTGTAAGAGAGTACATAGTAATAACAGCTGGTTTTTGTATGGACATAAAACCTACATATGCTATATATTTTTGAAGGTAAGTACTTAAAATATAATGTTGCTTTTGTTTAAGGAAATTAAGAATAAAGCTTTGCTCTACATGACTAAGAGGTAGTTTAAAACTGTTAAACATAAAGTGGACAGGGCAGAGAAATGCCGCTGGGAGGAAACAGAAACACAAAATCGGATGAAAGAAATTTTCATATGAAAGATATGTAATTCATCCAGATGCACACTTGCACTGAGTTCCTATTTGACTGCATGCAGTCTTGGAACCAACCCAAACACTATGTGCAAATGCGATCGCTGGATCCAGACTGTTCAGTCATGTAGGGCTGTGTAGATCTCCATTGCTACCCTAGAGTCGTGACCTGCCTTCTAACATTCTTAAAACAAGTTCTGAATGCACTTGCGGTGCCTTTTCAATTTCTCACATTTTTGTTTTGAACAAGCACCTTTCGATTCTTCAAAATCTGTTTCAGAGCAAAATGATGTTACTAACATAGCTGACTAGCTGTTTTGTGTTGCCAAGTGTATGTAACATTTTTAATATAAAAGGAACAATGAATGTTGGTTGGATATTTAAAACACATACCCACACACAATACTGCCACTGAAAAGCTTACGAGTTTGCTGCATATATCTGACTGAGCATCAAGTTGATAGTACTCCGAAGCTGAGGTCTTAATTAAAGACCATTCCTGTAGAAGTGCACAATTTTCTGCACTAGGACCAAGATACATTTTGCTTTGTATCATTGATTTTTCATCTTAATCCCTCCAGTTTATGTTCGGATAAGGAAACTGTTGATGCTTATCAGCATTTTTCTCTGTCCCATCCAAACTTTATTTCTTCAAATATATATATATTGGGTATGAGTGTATCAAATATCAGGAAAGAAAGGAATGGAGGGAAACATTTTAACTGTCCATGATCTTATGCAGTGGTCTTAATTTATACTCGAGATTCACATGCTTACATATAAAAGTAGAAATAAAAATAAAAAATAGAAGGCAACTGTGTGGATTCTAAAATAGTGTATTATTTGGGCTATTATTTGGTCTATACAAATAATCCATCGGGAACCCTCAGCAAACTGAAGTAGACAACATAATACTCAAAATTATGTTGTATGTAGTTTGGCCATTGGATAGAGTTAAACAACCGGTTCTCTGTTTTAAAATGTTGCATTTAAGAGAAAAGGCTTATATTTGATTTATAGCATGTACAGAAACAGCCTCAAGAAATCTAGACAACTAGCAGGATCATCCAAAGTACAAAGGTTGAAGTTGAGATACCAGACTAAGCTGCGTCCATTCTCTTCAAGAATTAATGGTTGTATTAAGAGAAAAGAACTAATAGTTCTAATGGTGAAAGGGGCAGATAAATTCTTGAAGAGCATCTACTGGGCAGCAGCCATATTGGAAAGTGAGTGGCAGAGGATCTTTCATAGATAATGACATTAGCACTAAACCTAACTTTAAACAGGAAGAACTTGAGCATACACCAAAACAGAATGTGCTGATAATCACAAGTGACTGAAATGAAGTAATGGGAATTAAAGTAGAACCAGACATTGTTAGAGAATTTGGCAGAACTTAGAAAGGAAGCAGGAGAGCAACTCATAGGATTCTACGAAGTCAACAATTTTTTTTATCGCAGAAACATACTCCAGGCAACCTAACATTATTGTACATATGGACATCACAAAAGGACCAAAATAGAAAGCAAATAGACTGTATAATTGTAAGCAGAAAGTAGATGAGCTCTATCTACAAAAACAAAAGCAGACTGAGGTACAGACCATGAACTCTTTATATCAAACACTAGAATAAAGCTGATAGTAATCATACTGCCAAAATATAATTTAAATAATATTCCTGAAGAATTCCAAGACCATGCAGAGAGCAGATTTTCATTACTAAACTCAATGAACCAGAAGAACTAAACCAGGCATTAGTAGTGAAGAATACAAAAAGACTATTCATCTCATAAGAAAAACCTGGACGTACTGATGCAATTCTTAAAATTGTGAAGGACACAGGAAAAGCAAAAGTGTAACAAAAATAGGATCAGAATCCTAAATGCAACAGTTCAGTGGTTTGCATGTTGAGATAAATAAAACAATTACAATAATGGTTGTGGTCTTCTGAAGATGCCGGCCACAGAGACTGGCGAAATGTTAGGAAGAACAACCTTCAGAACACAGCCAAAGAGCCCAAAAAACCCACAACAACCATTAGATCCCGGCTGTGAAAGCCTTTGCGAATACAATTACAATAATCTTTGCAAAGAAATAGAAGAGTACAACTAAAATGGGGCAAAAAAGAGATCTCTACAACAGGGGTTGTCAACCCCTGGTCCCTGGGCTTGCCAGAACTGGGCCACAGATAGGGATCTCCACCTCCCCCACACGTGCGGTGGGTGTGTCATGTTCATGTGCTCCCCCACACGTGCAGTGGGTGTGTCATGTTCACGCGGTGAGCATGTCGCGCCTGCGGGTTGGGGACTGCTGCTCAAAAGATCCAATGAGCATGTCATGCCTGTGGGTTGGGGACTGCTGCTCAAAAGATCCAAGTAATCAAAGGGAAATTTAAACCTACACTAGGGATGCTGAAATATTAACAGGAAATATATTTCTGATAAGAATAAGACAAGATACAAACAGTATATTGAAAAAATATACAGAAAATACATGATTAGACTAGTTTTGACCAGAAGCCAGCTACTTCAATAGTGTTTTCTCAGGCATTTACTAGTCCTTTTTTTGTACACCTGGTGAGGCATAAATTGCATGCACATAAATGCAGCATAAAGCCTGGCAAGACTCACCAGAAAAGGCAATAATATTGACAAAAATGAAAGGCAGTAAGAAAAGAGGAGTAGGAAAAGAGGAGGACATAAGACGGGATGAATTGACTGAATAAAGGAAGTCGTGGTCTTTGGTCTTCAAGGCCTGATCAGGGCTATTACACCTGTTGAGGCATAATTTGCATGCACATAAATGCAGCATAAAGCCTGGCAAGACTCACCAGAAAAGGCAATAATATTGACAAAAATGAAAGGCAGTAAGAAAAGAGGAGTAGGAAAAGAGGAGGACATAAGACGGGATGAATTGACTGAATAAAGGAAGTCGTGGTCTTTGGTCTTCAAGGCCTGATCAGGGCTATCAAGAGTAGGAAGTCATTAATTCATTGGGCCACGACAAGTCAAAAGACATTTGATAGCACATCAGCAGAACAACAATAACAAAGGAAAAAAACAAGACTCATAGATTTTGACATGTGTTAACTGATAATTTTTTTATCTTCTCAGACTACATTGATTTTCCTTACTTTTGTACTTGAGGATTTTTGTTATAAAATTGCATATTGTGTTTTCTAAAATGTGTAGCTAGTTGCAGCCTTTCCAAATAAAGTTACCCTCTCCTCTCCCCTATTTTACCTAGCTGGGAAACTCTTTGCCTCATGCTTTGTTCTGAGCAATACTGTAGAACTGCTGAAAGAGTCAGAAATCCGAATCTTTCACTAGGCAAGAAAGTGGCTAGACTACACTGGAGACTCATCAAAGGTGACCATATGACTGAGACCCAATCAAACTTGTTTTGTGTATTTTAAAATGTTTCTGGATTTAAAATTTCCTATTAAAATTAACTGCTACTTTGCAAAACATTTTCAACAGCATAGAAAGCTGAGCAGATGCACTTCAGAAACTGCTGCTTCTGTCCTGATCAGTACTAGTTGCTGATACAGTTCCGGAGAATCTCTGGTAACTTTCAGGAAGAGTTCCTTTTAAATCTGATACAGAAACTGCTACAAGATGTTGAAAACATGGCATATATGAAATTTATACTCTTCATGGAAAAAAAGTGAATACATGAAAAGGTTGATATTTAAGCCATTCCACTTGTTGAATGAATTACCTGAGAAATCTTTCCAAATCTTCTCTGCTGCACCGAGACCATGAAACATCTCCAAGATTCTGCCCTTTGATCCATTCTCCAGACATGATATGGAGACCATCTGCACAGGATGGGTGGTCATTGTCATGATTTATTCCCATGCTACAAATATGAACGAATTGGAAAGAGATCTCAATTTAAAGATAAAAACAAGGGTTAAGAATATTTTTGGAAGTGATCATAGAAAGTAAATATTTTCCTCTCCTCTCCTACAAACTGCAAGATATGTTTAAGGTGACAAATTGCATATACTTATTTATTGATTACAGTCTGAAAATAAAGCCATATTTAGTCATATGTTTATGTCTAATATATCATCTTCATTCCTGACAATCAGTTTTAACCACTCAAAGTATTCTATTGCTTGCAAAGCAATAAATTTTATGGAGGGAGAAATACATTTTATGTATTTGTGTAAATTTAGTGGGTTCATATTCAAGATATGATATATTCTTGCCTTCATTAAAGAAACCTTACAAGCTTTTTGACAACAATTCTACTCAATCTGCTTAAACTTCAGAGGATATTTGAGATGTACACAATTTAATCAGACAACTGTTATCCAATAACCGCAGATTTTGGTTTTATTCCCAAAATAAAATAATCAGCAAAAATATTTAAGAAGTATGTGTTTTATTTGTTTGCAACAGACTCCTGCTAAAAGTTCTGTTTCCTTGCAAAGATTCCATGGCATAAATTTCAAGATCAATCCCTCATTTACTCTTGCATTGCATATTATTTAATGTAGAATGGCTAATACTGCAAATGAATCTTGTGTTATCAGTCGTAAGGTCCAAGTCTAATGATAGTAGTCTGGAAATGCAGATATCCCTCCAGAATGGTTTCCAGTGGATATGGAGACAGTTTTAGCTAATCTGTATTACAAAATGTGTGAACAGTAAATCTTTGGTTTCTGTAACTACAAAAAGAAATACAACAAAAAAGCAGACTGAAATAGGGATTTAAAATTGGAATCAAACTTATTTATGTTATTTATATCTTTTTTAAAGGACAAAATAGAGAGAACTAGGAATTAGTAAGCATGATACTTACCTCAAAAATGAACTAAGTGGACACAAGCTTTAGCCTAACATGAAAAGTTCTCAAGAGAGTGAGTGGTTCAAATGTTTAAAGGAGTGACCAGACTCACCCAATTCCTCCACTATCTCTATGTCTTCATCCCTGGGGTGGGAAGACAGATCTTGCCTTGGAGCCACGACAGGACAGAACCTATTTTGAGAGTTTCCACCTTCTGCCAGTATAGACAACTTCCACCCATTAGGGTCAGCCTTACAATGAAGTGGAGTAAAGTAGTTGCTTCAGTGGTAGAGTACTGGGAGAAGCAAATGCACTGTTCTCTAAAGCTATCTACATTGCTGGGCTTTAAACAGCCATGGGACTAAGACACAAGAGAACATGTGACTTCTAAAATTACCTGTGCCATTAAGGCAGGGGATGTATGTTCTCCTAAAAAAAGGTGCACAGTGTGGGGAAATGGAAGCCTCTGCATTGTGTGGGTGGGTGGATGTGATGTGGGGCTATACTCCCCTCCTCAGGTACTTACTCTTTTGTAGGCCACCAATATCACCCAATGTGGGTGAAATAAAAGTTTCCACCAGTGAGTCTCTCTATGCAGATAGAGGCTGGGAGTGAGACATCTCTGCTTTAATCTTACTAAGACTTTGATGTAACACTTTCTCTTACACACATACCACATAGCTGAGACACAGAGTAAGTCTGAGTATATATCACAAAGGCAGATAAAAAGAAGTGTCCTGCGTGTGGGAGGCGTAGAAAAAATGCCATTGGATGGCCCACATGGATGTGGCATCCAGCTATGTGGTTGGGTGTTTGTGTAACATCTCAAAAGAAGATCAGAAAAAAAGAGGCTAATTGTTTGGAAGCTGGAGATGGCCACAACTGAGAAGATGCTGCCTTCTCAACTGAGAAACAGTTGATTCCTCGTCATGTTCTACAGGTACCGTCAGGATTTGTTCCTAATAAGTGAACAATGAACTAAATTTAATATTGTAGAGGGAATGTAAAATGGATGACAAATGCAAAGCCATGCCTGTAAGAGTGAATGGATGAGTGATGGCATGCAGCTGGAACAAGTTTAGATAGTGCTAATTAACCATGTTCAGCTGCCTTGTCTATAGTGATAGGCTGCTCTTACTATATAAGCAGAAGAGCAGGAACAGCATTTTGCCACACAGTAGTGAGTCTGGTGGTCTTTACTTCTTTGAATGTCTATGTTGCTCTAAGAGATTTATGCACAAGCTATGTATATAATGTCATGTACAGTGGTGCCTCGCAAAACGAACACCTCGCAGGGTGAAAAACCCGCAAGACAAATGGTTTTTTTATGATCATGTTGGTGACTCGCAAGACGGCTTCTTCTATGGCCATGCTTCGCAAGACTTTTTTTTTGTTTTTTGTTTTTGCAAGACCGATGCCTCGCAAGATGAAAATAATTCATAATAATTCATTGGCTGAAATCCTGTTCCACGATTAAACAAAAGATGTAACCTTCAGCAGCAAGTTGCTATAAGTTAAGAAACTCTGTAGGTATGATTTGCTGCATACTGTGTCACACAATTCAGCCTGTGACAGATAATGCCTACAGAGAGTTATTAACTTGTGACAATTCACTACTAAAAGTTACACCTTTTGCATAATTGCACAACATAACTTTAGTTACCCTATCACAAAATTCAGAAAAATACAGTATTAATTGGGTAATCACCCCTACACTCATATGTTAAACTCAGCGAGATCTGTTTCTGAGTAGACCTTTGTAACCTTGCACTGTGTACTCATACAGGTATAAAACCATAGAAATCCTCTGAAGCCTGCAACTTCAGAAGACGTATTGGTTTCTAATCGAATTGTGCAAACATAGCAGCTAAATCTAACAGAAAGAAGAACAGAAGAGCCAGAATCACATTTTTTAAAAAGCAACTTGGTTGCTAAACAGGCAAGACTGAAACTAGCACAGACTTTAAAATATATGTTCAAAGGTCAATGAAAGCAGAAACAATACTGAATCCCAGTTGTCTTGTATCTCATTGTGTCATTTGTCAGAACAAAATGCGGGAATATTTGTGGCTGACTGGAGAGGACTATATTCTTAACTGAAGATTTACAGAGAAACTATCCATATGATGACCCCACAGCCCTACTTTCTGTAATTCCAAAAGAAAACTGCCTCTGCTCTATGTTTACAATTCTAGACAGGATTATGCTCTCCTAAAGAACCAAATGCATAATATAGGTTTTCCTTTAGATTTGGCTATGTTCCTGAATGGCTAAGTTGCCGTAGTAATATATTTTCTTCTTCATTATACTTGGTCCTTTTATATCTTTTCTTTTTTTTCCTTTTTCCTTTTCTTTCTTTTTTTTCATCCTGAAAAACGTCTCTACTGATTGTAAAAATTTGTTATATTTTATAAATGGTTTATATGTTGGCAGCCACTTAGAGTGGTCGTTTGACCAGATAGGCGGGGTACAAATACAATCAATCAATCAATCAATCAATCAATCAATCAACAAACAAATAATCCTTCCTTGAATTCCTTGAGTCAACCACCAATATTTATACAGTGGTGCCTCAACCTACAACCGTCCCTACTTACAACCATTTTGATTATGACCAGCTCCGGCCGCAAAATTTTGCTTCGACCTGCGGCCGGAGCTTCCAGTTACGAACACAAAAAGGCAGGGGGGAAAGGCGGGAAATTCAAATTTCTAACTGTAGGTGGCAACGAGGCTGCTACTTTGTAGCTTTTTTTTGCTGCAATGGATTAGTCACGTTCCAATGCATTTCAATGGGAAATGGTGCTTCAACTTACGACCATTGCAAGTTACTCCCATCTTCTGGAATGGATTATGGTCCATAGGAACTAACCCAAAGCCAGTACTCTACCACTAAGGGGAGAATTTTTCTTCTTTTGACCTAAGATGAACTGAGGTCCAAAAAAGGGCAGAAAAGGAGGGAGGGGAAAGGATCACCTTCTAAGTTGTGGTTTGGATCATTCATTCCCTGTTTCCTCTCTTTGATAGTTTAGCTTATTCTTAGTTTCTGATTGTGCAACTAGTAGTTCTCAGATTATTTTAGCCATAGATGATTTAGTCTGTGGACTTTCCCAAAGCTCATATAATTGGACATGGGGTGACAGTGGGGAGATGAGTACTAAACATGAATACATCAAAGAACAAATGTACTGTGAGTGTCTATTGAAGACTTTTGCTGGTGTGAAAAAAGAGAAATAAAAACAGATGAATGCGTGGAGATATAATGTTAAATTGAAAGTAAAATTGTTGCCATACTATCCAGATACTGTGCTCTTCTTCACCTGCAAACACATGCAAAGAAGTTGAGGTTGGATGGAATAAGACTTGGCTGTTTTCTTCATTTTGTGCAGCTCTTCCAAATTTCCATTGGTTTTCTCATTGAAGAGGCCCTTGGTGTCGAAAGGTAAATTTTCTACCCGTGTCTTAACATCTTCCATTATGTTAGCTGCCCTGAGCCATGCGTGTCTACGTAGGGTGACAGCTGACATAAGGACTTTGGATGCAGCTTTAGTTGCATGTCTGGTAGATAACCTCTGGTGTTTTGATACAGTTTGGGCTTCTTCATATGTATTTAGGACACCTTGCCTTATGTCCTCAGAAACCAATTTAAGCATTGGTAAAATTCGTAGCCCAAGCTGTTTTTGGTAAGCCCCCAAGGCTGTCTGGTAGTTTGTGACACGAAGGAGGAATGAGATAAATGAATAATTTTTCCTCCCGAGTGCCTCTAATTTTCTGCCTTCCTTGTTTATTGGAGTTACATGGGATTTTCCAGTTGGTTTTGAACAGCTAGTTTCAACTATGAGAGAGTTGGGGATAGGATGTTTGAGAAGGAAATTTGTGTCATCCCCATGGATGCGGTACAAATTCTCTGTGTGTCTCGACATAGGGGCTGAAGTGGATGGTTGGTTCCAAGTGTCCTTAATAATTTCCATTAAATCTGGTAAAAATGCTAGGCTAAGTGGTGGAGATCTTCCTTGGTTTATGTCCCCGAATATGAGGTCCTCTATAGGTGGAACAGGTTGGTCAATGTCAATTTGGAGGGTTTTTGCAAGTTTTGAAAGCATTTGGGCATATGATGAAAAGTCCTCAGAGGGAGAGGAAGCATGGTTGTCAGCAACATCCGATTCAACTACCTCTCCCTCTGGTAAATCTTTCACTGATGGCTCTTGAGGGACATCGTTCTCAGGAGCAGAGGAGCCAGATGAAAAAACGTCATCTTGATCTGAGGTCAAAATATGATGGAGTCTCCTGTGTGGATATTTCTCAGCGTCATGGGAAGAAGAAGCAGTCTGCTGAGAAGATTGCCCGACAGTCAACACCGAAAATGGAGGAGCTGAGTCAGCTGGACACTTTCTTCCATCCCTGGAGACGTCCTTTCTCTTGTCAACTTGCTTTCGACGTCAATGTCTGTGGGGAGAAGAAGAGGTGGAAGAAGCGTATAGATATGTCACCCTCTTCCTTCTTCTATGCCTCTCGCTCGACGTCGAGGAGGTGTCAGAAGAAAGGTAGTTTCCTCCGTGTTGACACCGATGCTTCTTACACCTCGACTCGTAATGGTCAGAGTCGTCCAATCTGTCTCTATGTAGTGTCGAGATGACCGAGGAAGTACCACTACTTCACATTGAGGAGATCGATGCCGATCAGGAGAAATATGTTTGGTCTTGACCGGTTGCTTTCAAAGCAGAGAGTTCGGTCTCGAAGCAACGGAAGATACTGGTGGAGCCAAAGATGCCCGCCCGGTTGACCAGGGCTGTGAGGGGCAGAAGCCAATCCTGCAGTAGTACGTGCAAGCTGGCTTGGTGTCGGAGAGGAGACGCTTTCAGGTGGTAATGGCTCAGCCTGTCTAGGAGGGAGTGAAGTTGCTGCCTCAGACAAGGACTCTCGGTCTTGAGAGGAATCTTCAAGGAGGAGGAAGCGATGCAGAGACTGGAGGCGACTGTGTATGATGGTCCTTGGCTTTAACTGGAGCCTTCGTTTTTGTTTATTTAATGGGCTTGAAGCTGTGGTTGATTCAATGCCGAAGATGCCGATTTCTTCATAGCAATGGATTTTTTCAGAGGTTTATCAGAGGTTTTGCTGAGGGAACACTGAGGTGAGCCATTTCAAGTCTCAGATCGAGGGGTTGCAGAGGGGGAAGCGATTTCCATTTCTGACGGCTTAGATGAAGAGAGAGAGTGGTATCCCAGAGGTGATATTTAAGTCTCTGCTGTCTAACTTTTAAAGCAGCTTTAGTAAAACCCTTGCAATGTTTACAGGATTGGGTTTGGTGGGACTCCCCTAAACAGCGATCATGGCCGTCATGAAAAGGAAGCTTCCTAGAACAAACCACGCACTGGCTAAAGGGTCTGGAGCGGGACATATGCTGGTATAGAAAGGACTCTTCATACTTTAAATGTTGTGCGGTGAGGTGAAGAGGCGGGAAATTCCAAGGCAACCAAGTTAGTGGAGAAAACACAATAGGCGATAACAGTGAACAGTCCAAGGTCGGGGCAATAGCAGGCAAAGTAGTCAGAGGAAATTCCAAGTTCGAGATGCCATAAAAATCAGTCAAAAAAACAGTAGAATACAAGCTCAAAGTGAGAGGTTCCAAACCGCTCGGCAGAAAAAAATGGAACTGAGGCTTTTTGGCGGAGCATGCACATTACAGGCAACCTAAAACGTTGTTACTTTTCTATTAAAAGCTTCAGAAGATTCCGAGAGGTCCAGCGCAGGCGCTGATTTAATCCTTTTATGTGCATTCACAGAGGCCATGCTGAAGAACAGTATTGTGGTGCCAATTTTTAAGAAAAGTGACCCCCTAGACCCTAGCAACTTTAGACCTATCAGTCTTCTTAATGTGGCCTCCAAGCTTTATGCTAGATATCTCTTGAATAGGCTTCTAGATTGGGACAGCAAACACTCAATCATCTTTGAAGAACAGGCAGGCTTCAGGAAAGGCAGGAGTACAATAGGTCAAGCCTTTGGCCTACATCATGTAATAAGCAAATACACCAAACTTCCTTACAAATATTTTTATGCCGCCTTCGTTGATTTTTCCTCAGCCTTTGACCTGACAGACAGAGACTGACTATGGTGTAAACTGGCTAAAACAAACATTGATAGGAAACTCCTGTGGCTTATACAGCAATGACACATAGAAAATACGATGCAGGTACAAATTGGTCTACAAAGAGCTCTATCACAGCAGATTTGTATTAGCCGTGGGGTGAAACAAGGGTGCATTTTAGCCCCCTTTCTTTTCAATTGATCCCACAAATGGTTTTCCCCTCTTTTTTCTTCCCAACCATTGGCTGTAGGAAGATTTCAATGCTGCTTTATGCCAATGACCTGGTTTTGCTATCCCTGAACAAAATTGGCCTTAAGAGAATGCTATCTAAATTTGGGCAGCACTTTAAAGAGGAACAGCTAACAATCAACTACACTAAGACAAAGGCCATGGTCTATGGGAAGAGAGCCCCTAAACATAATTGGTCATTAGATGGGCATGTCATTGAACAGGTACAGTCCTTTCAATATTTGGGCATCCATTTTTGTGAGAAACTCTCTTGGAAACAACATCTAAATAGCACTATATTATTGAGCTTCAGATCGATAGGGCAACTAAAAAGATTTTTTTATAGTAGAGGTGGCCAACTGATAAATCCTGCACTCAAGGTGTTCGCTGTCAAAATCTTACCACAAATACTTTATGGGGCAGAATTATAGGGAGAAGCAGCTAAGACAAAATTGGAAATTTTGCACAATAAATTTATGAGGCTGATACTGGGGCTCCCTCCAGGAATTCCCTCAGCTCATCTCAGAACTGAGTTAGGCCTTCCCTCAATTGCCACTAAAGCTGACCTGACCTATTTTAGATATTGGCACAGACTGAACGACCTAAAGGACCTCTCCTTGACAAAATGCTGCTGGCTAGAACAACTACAGTTTGGTGGATGGGCACAACAGTGCTACCAAAAACTAAAAGCCCATAACCTCCCACTGGAAAAATTCTTCAGTCTAGCCCCCCGGGACCTTAGAAACTGGATTCTCGACTGTGATGCAAGTCAGGACAGGGCTGTTATTGTTGGGTCCTGTTTTTCCATCTGGTACCCCCAACTTCAGTTGAATCCTGCAAAACCAAGTTACTTTGAGTCACTGACTTTTCCTCAGATCCACAGAGTGTTCACAGAACTTAGATTTGGGCAGATGACCATGGCATATCTTGAAGGGAGGTATAAAGGAATTCCAGTGGAGGAGCAGAAATGTGTTTATGGCTGCAATCCAACTCAAACTGCTAATCCAAAGCAAAATAGAACAATTGAATGATATATATTGGCCAGAATCCTACTATTTATGCCCTTTGGTGCAATGTAAGTGGCATAATTTTCAAAAGTGAACTGCTTCAAGTTAAGAAGTTAGTATAACAACTGCATCTTTGTGACCCTTTTCAGGGTTTTCTAGGTATAAAGTGCTCAGAAGCAGTCCTTTCTTCCTGGGGTGCTTGGACCATGTAGCTTATCCACAAACTGGCTCTTCTCCTAGGAGATTCAGTGGAGAATTAAACTCCCTACCCTTGGCTCCATACTCCTTGGTAAAAGAATTATCCAGAGATTTCCTATTGCACACCAACTGTTCCTACATTAACTTCTTAACCACTGAGAGATATTCCACTATCACTGCACCAGCAGAAATATACGGTAAGATTTAGGCAGCTAAGTCCCACTGATTCAACTGATTTAGTTTACCTGGAACGTATAATTGGACTGAGCACTGAATTTATGTTTGCATACAAAAAGTCAGAACTAGAGATAACAGGTACTCTGATAAACTCAGACTAAGATAGTTTCATGGAGAAACAAGTGGGCAATGTGGCTTGTTTATTTCTTTATCCTGACATGTACACATTTGCTAATTCCCATGTGGTCCAAAAGGTTCTGATTCTTGCCCCATAGTCTAGACATTAGATGCATCTATATTAAACATTCCTTTTTTTCTATTTTTGTCTCAGTTTTGCTGACAAACATCTCAATTTCATTTCGTTGCTATTCATTTGCTAATTTAACTTGAGATGTTTCTACTAGGTACTGTATTACATTATTCACTGATTTATACATCATCGTTTTCTTAAAAGGATGAGGATATTTTATCTATAACCAATCAACTGTTTTTACATAATTAAAAACTAATGAATAGTATTCATTATGATTACAACTAAACTAAACTGAACATACTATGGAAAAAACAGTTCTTTTGAGAAAGTATTTATGCATGAATATGAAATTTCTTATGTGTGTATTTACTTAAAATTTACTCTCAGATTACCATACTCTAACATAAATTTAAACATTGGTTGTTTCATTTACTTACTTATGACCCATCTCATGGGCAATAGTAAATGCAAGATTCAGGCCATTGTCTTCTGCAATGATACATTTTCGTTTTTCACTACACATCCCATTCAAATATGCTATACCTAGAAAACACAATAACCACAATTAATCGCACAAAGTCAAGTTATAATTTTACATTGTTTGGAGACACTAATGTTCTATTGAGAATATAATATTTCTTCAGCAAGTCAAAACTCAGCAAACATCTTGACATGATTTTGTAAGAGAAAGTGTGCAGCACAGAAGAAATTACTGCAGATGACTTGGTATCTCACATTTTATTCCAGAAACACGCTTAAAGACTGGGCTAGATCCAAGATGTAGTCCCAACAAATTTAGACCCTCTGAATAAATGGTACATTAAAAAAATTAGCATGCATTTGCCAGATCTGCCCCCCCAGTACACATGGTCCACTCGTCCTGGCAATTGCCTCATTAGCACGCATTTGCCAGATCTGCCCCCCAGTACACATGGTCCTCTCGTCCTGGCAATTGCCTCTGTTCCTAAGAACAGTCTGCCACTGCACAAAAAGGAGACAGATGTGATGGACAGAGGGGAAGTGTGAATTCACAGATGAACACTTGAAGAACCAGTTACAGTTAAACAACCTCTCTTCTTCATGGTCTCTGTGAATGCACACTATAGGGTGATTAGCAAGCTGATTTACCGGAGGAGGGATGTCATGAAAGTACTGATGACAAAATGGCTCTGCCAAAAGCTGCATCTGCCCTGACTCTGACACCAAGACAGTAGTGAATAGCAAACATAGATGAAGTAGACCATGTCACAGCTTTGCAAATATGTGGAACGCCAACACCTTTCAAGAAGGCTGTGGAAGCAGCAACAGCTCTGGTGGAATGTGCTGAGAAGAGAGGGCGGTAAAGGCTTGTGACCAAAGTTGTAAGCAAGCCATATTGTCATCATGATCCAGAGGGAAACAGTTTGTGATGAAATAGAGGATCCTTTATTGGGTCGATGGGGAGTGACAAAGAGTCTTTCAGATTTGCAAAAGGAAGAGGTCCTGGAGACGTAGAATGCCACAGCCTGACAAACATCAAGGGAATGTAAAGAAGACTGGGGTTCATTAGATGGCGATGGAAAGAAGGTAGGTAAAACTATAGGTTGTTTGATATGAAAATTGGAGACAACTTTAGGCAAGAAGGAGACATCCGTATAGAGAGTAACCTTCTGAGGATGAAACCAGAGGAAAGGTGGGTTGACAAGGGCGGTGAACCATAGTTGTCTGGGTCACCAAGGGGCTATGAGGATGGCACTCAACTGGTCTTGTCGAATCTTGATGATGGTTTGCAGAAGACATACAGGGGAAAAGAGATAAAGGAGAGTGAAAGACCAGGTCATCATGAAGTCATTGCCTAGGGATCCGGTGCCAATTCCTGCTCTGGAATAGTAGTGAATGCATTTGGCATTGTGTGAGGTGGGAAATACATCTATGAGAGGGTGATCCCCAAAGTCTGCAGAGATGGAAGAACACTTAGTTGTTGAGAGTCAATTTGTGTTTGAGTACGGAGCCCGCTCAGTGTGTCTGCTAAGTCATTATCTTATGTAGAAATGTGGATGGCTACTGGATTGGCATTTGTGGCACCATTCCCAAACTTGAATGGCAAGGTAAAGGAGGGAGAAGTAACGGGTGCCTCCTTGTTTGTTGATATAGAATCGAACCATGGTGTTGTCTGTGGTGACTTGTATGCTTCGTCCCATAATCAGCACAGAAAGCCTTGATAATGGCAAGCAATTTGAGATAGTTGATGTGAAGTTGTTATTCTGCATGTGATCATGGGGCGTCTATCTGAAGGTGGGGCTGGTGTCTGTAGTGACTTGAATTGTAAGCTGGAGGTGTCTGAAAGGCCTGCCGATGAAAAGGTTGGTTTGTGTATCCCACCAAATGAATTGGGTGGCGAGTTTTGGTGTGATTCTGAGGAGTTTGGTTGGTTGATTGGACAGAGGGTTGAAAAGAGTCAGGTTCCAAACCTGAAGTGTCCTCATTTTTAGTTGAACATGTTGTATGACGGAGGTCATGGAGGCTATCAAGGCTATGAAGAACGTCACAGAGGCTAGGAGGTGCTTGGTCTGATGCGCCGTGACAGTGAATGAGGTCAGAAGTGGTGCAGAAGGATGTGTAGCTTTGTTGCTCGTTCTTGTGGAAGGAAGACATGAGCCTGTCATGAATCTAGGACAGCCCCTATGTAAGTCACCAGTTGAGAGGGTTGTAGGATAGATTTGTCCATGTTGACTCCGAATCTCAGAACTGCCAAGAGGGACAGAGTGAGATCTATATCAATTAAGGCCTTGGAATAGAAAGGAGTGACTAGCAACCAATCATCAATGTATGGGAATACAGTGACTCCACATATGTCATCAGAAGATATTTCATAAAGGGGCTCTCTCCTTGTATGGTACTGAGGAGAGGACAGTGATCCCAATGAGTCATAGGGGTAGTAATAGGCATACTGTCTTCTTTTTTTTTTTATTCTTTTCAATGGAGGTAGAACTATGGGGAATGGAATGTAGGGTTAGGGAGGGAGGTATGGATAAAGAAAGGTTAAATTTCCAGAGAGTGAGATAGTACATTTACATCAACTTGTACAATTATACTACAAAGAGAGATAAAAAGAAAAACATCAGATTTTCCCAGTATTACTATAGTTACTAATCTATCTACTCCATAATTGGACCTTCACATTCTTCCTTAGTCTATGCTTTCCAAACTTTCTTTCAAGTCTAATTATAAAATTATTCCCTATTTTGAGTCCCTTTTAAAGATAATCTTCATCTATTACTTCAGGCCGTGTTTAGTTTTAGGCCTTCTTCCTTTCTGTTGAAGTTCTGTTTATGTTTATGGATTTCAATGGCTTCCCTGTGCAGTCTAACATACAGATTGCTGGTGTTGTCCAGTACTTCAGTATCTTGAAATAGAATTTCATGTCCAGCTTGTTTTAGGGCATGTTCAGCTACTGCTGATTTTTCCGGTTGTTTTAGTCTGCAGCGTCTCTCATGTTCTTTGATTCTGGTGTGGATGCTTCGTTTTGTGGTTCCAATATATACCTGGCCACAACCGCAAGGTATCTGGTATATTCCTGCAGTGGTGAGGGGGTCCCTTCTGTCCTTTGCTGACCGTAACATTTGTTGTATTTTTGTGGTGGGCTTGAATACTATTTGTAGGGTCCGTGACCCCTTTGATGTATGGCAGAAATACTTTATTTGTGGGTGGCTGTTTTTCTTCTTCAGTTTGGATTTGTTTTCTTGGTTTGATGGCTCTTGTGATTTCATTTTTGGAGTAGCCATTTGCCTGTTGGACCCAATTCAGATGGTTGAGTTCAGTGCTGAGAAACTGAGCTTCACTAAACACGACCTGGCTTCCAATTCTGAAAAATACAGCCTGCAAAAGGTCAACGAACTCTACCCAGCCACAAGGGCCAGGGAACCAGGGGTCATTGCACAAAAAAGACCAGCTAATGACACCCATCAATCACAGTGACAGATAATCTCTCCCCCCACAGAAACTGGTGAAACGTTAGGAAGAACAACCTTCAGAACACCACCAAAGAGCTCGAAAAACCCACAACAACCATTAGATACCAGCCATGAAAGCCTTTGCAAATACATTTCCCACACTATTTAAAAATATTTTGTGCCTTTGAAAAAAACTTCGTTGGCATTGTGTACCATCAGTAAAACATATATCATCTATAAAACACCTTATCTACATTTTCTTTAACAGTTATTGATTTTTGAACATTAATAGTCTTCTACCATTTTATACCCATTTTATCCTACAGTCTTTAACCACTTCATCTTTCACTTTCATATTTTATTCATTTAGTCCATCTTTATTGTTGAGGTTTTCTTTCCTCCTCCTGGATCCTCTTGTTTTTATAGTGCACTTTCCTTTAGAGTTTCTCGCTTGCTCTTCTGCTTTAGTCAAGCTTCTTTCTGCCTCTGATCCTGATGATCCACTTGATTTGTCCTCTTCTAATTTCTCATCTGCTTTATTCTCTTCTTTTCTGCCCTGTCACTTGTCCTTTGTTTTCATAAAACTTTCTGCCTTCATTTTTGGGTTAATATAATAATTCTGCTCCTGGAATTAAAAAGGTCAACTTCAGGCACCAACCACTTATACATAATTGAGGGATGTCAAATCCACATATTGTCTCCTTTTCTGTCTTATTTGCCATGGAATATGTTTCAATATCTTAATTTCTTTATATTTTGTATTAGGTTCCTTGCCTTGTATATTTCTTAAGACTTTATCTCAAAAGATCTTTCTCATAAATTTAACATGATTTTCTCTGGGGAAATTTTTTCCCCTGCTGTATGCTGTATTAATTCTTTGTGTTGTGTTTATAGTTTGTTGAACATCCTCTAGTCGCATCTCCATGAGCAATGCTAAATAAGTAGTAGTCACTTGCACTGTATCTTCTTTTTGTTCTGGTAGGTTCTGGAATCTAAATATGTCATTGGCTCTTTCCATTTGTAGATTTAATGGAGTAATTTCATCTTGCTCGCTTTCCTGTTTTAGTTCTTCCATATCTGTATTCATGATCACCAGTCTTTCTTCTGATTTTTTTTTTGATGTCTCAACTGTTCTGGCTACTTCTTTTTTATTTTGATTTTTAATATCAGTCATTTGCATCCCTAAGTCTTTCGTTTGTACACATAGTTGAACCATCCCTCCCTTGTAATTGGTGTAGCCATGTAGATAGCATCTCTTGAATACTCTGTTGCCAGTCCTTAAATGACTCTTGCCCCAATAACCCACTGAGATTTTGTTCTTGTGCTGGTGAACCTCTTTGAGTTCTCTCTTTTCCACATTTTGTCACCATATTGATTTTTCCCCTTCTTCTTAAATTAAGTAAAAAAGGAATGTTGTTTAAGTCTTCTGTCAGCAGATATCACTGCAACCTTAATTTTTCCCCCTTCTCCCTTTTTCTCCTTGCTCCTCTTCTTCTCCACGATCTACACTGGGGGGGAGTCGCTTCTACCGTGACAGCAAGATTTTTTTTAAAAAGGTAAAGTCCATTTTGCTGATTCTTTATATCTATTTTCTGTATAGTTATTTGGTTC